GCTACCTCAGCCACCCTGGTTTGCTCTATGGGATTCCTCTGATATTCCTGTAAGATTTCTATGATATTGCTCTACCTTTTACCCTGTTTCCGCCCTACCCCCTGTCATCAATAAAGTTCTCCTTTGTGACCGGTGTGGAGACGTATTGAGGGGTGGGTCTAAATTATGCCGAGGAGGCCCCTTAGGTCTGTGGACTAAGGGAGGCGTCCCTAATCAGCCCCTGACTTGGGGAAGTGCCCCAAGTGCTTATACTGGGTCTAGGACCCAAGCGTGCACACTGGTACCACCCAGTGCGAGTGTGCACACCAGAGCACCCTGTGTGCAAGCATGCACACCGGAGCCAACTGCAAATGCAGCACGAGCCAAAAAGGCCACAGAGCCTCGCCTAGCTCGCGTGTAGTCCCGGGGCAGAGCGGCTCCTTGCAGCCGGGGGTTCAGGAAGTCCTTCTGGGTGACGGGGCGGAGATCCCCCAGGCCTCGTGTCAGCCCGGGTCTTCTAGGCGAGTCCGCACCCCACTCTCCCCTCGGGCGCTCACAGCACCGCTTGGGAGGGCGGCTCTGCCTCCAGGAGCATTCACGTCTAGAAGGAAACTCTGGGGCAAACAGGTCTGCACGCTGCGGTGCAGGGACCACCGTCGCCACCTCGGCCCCGTGCAGGATTGGCCCTTTCCATGCGCCCGCAGACACCTGTGCCTGCCCCCGACATCTTCCTGCCTCCTCCCAGATCAGGCGCTTGTGGCCCTGCTCTGCCATTGCCTGGCACCTGCCCTCACTGCGCTCCCGGGTGCTTATGGCGCACGGGCTCATTTGGGGACGCGCACGCGTGCTCCTCTGCCTCGTCCCCTCTGTCCAGTCCCTTTGCCGTCATCGCGTTCAGGGGTGAGACCAGCTCCCCGGGGTCTTCCCCAGGGGTTGCCCTCACCCACAGGCACCTGTGCTTGTGCTGCCAGTCTGAGCCCACTCCCCGCAAGCCACGGGCCTGCTCCCGTCTGACGCCCGGGGCCAAGAGCGATGGCTCTCCGCAGCAGCAGGGCACTGGGGAGCCCTTCCTGCCGCAGATCGGGGCCTGGAGGAGCTGCGCCAGACTGCGGCAGGGGATGCTGCTGCTTCCCCCTGCCCGGGGTGGGTTGTGCTGTTTGCAGCGCCCGCGGTCCCGCGCCCTCCAGCTCTGCTGTTTCCTGCGTGCCATGGCTGTCCTGGAGTGGGGGCTGCTCCACCCCCTCATATCACACTCTGGGCATGTCTACGCAAGCAGTTAATGCTCTTGAATAAATTATGGGGTTTATTGCTCCAGAGGTTTTTGTTCCAGGTCCCAGCCCAGGCATGGGGGCGGGCTGGCGGGTGCGTTCTGCGTCTGTCTGCCCCCCGGCTACAGGCCCAGGACTGGGTGCCCGGGACAGGGGGGTTCAGGGATTTGTGCGGTGGAAACGGGCAATTGGGGACTTGGTGCTGCCTGGGGGAGGCAGAGCAGGGAACACATGAAACCGCATGGCTTGCCATGAGCCTGGCACACGTCCCATTGCACAGAGGCACAGGGGTGTCTCCCGAATTTCCCGGTACCCCTGGGAGGGGCAGGGAGCGGAGCTGGGGCATTGTGCAAGGTCCTCCCACTCCTGGGCTGGGTGACGGTATATAGCGCAGCCGGCCCGGCGCTCGGCACGGCGGCACAGCGGTACCATGCAGCGGGGAAGCCTGTTCCTGCTGGTGGGGATCCTCGCCCTCTGGGCCGGGCTGCAGCCTGCGTCTGGGCAGGTCTCTCCAGGTGAGCGCTCCCCCCGACCCCAGCCCGGAGCCCCCACACCCGCCCCAGCCCCTGCCTCCTGCCTCCCCGTCCCGGGGACAGTTTGAGCATGGGGCAGGGGGTGGCAGCTGCCACGCTGCGAGGGCATTGCCCTGTGGCATCGCATCCCTCTGGAGCAGAGGACTTCTGCCAGCTCCCCGGGGACCCCGGCCCTGCACCATGCACGTCCTGCGCTACTGCCACGACCCGGGGGGGCCCGGGCGGACGAGGGACTGCAATCCCAAGTACGGCTCCTGCCCCTTCTCACCGCCCATCTCTGCCCTCTGCACTGCAGACATCTGCAAGCTCCCGAAGGAAGCCGGCCCCTGCAAGATGTACATCCTTCGCTTCTACTATGACTCAGCCACCAGGACTTGCAGACCTTTCGTTTATGGGGGCTGTAAAGGCAATGAAAACAACTTTGTGTCCTTCCTGGCCTGCCTGGCGACGTGCAAGATACCCGGTGAGTCGTGCAGCCGCTGGGAATTGCCAGGTGGCTCTGGGTGCTGGGGTCGAGGTCAGCCCGAAGGTGGAGGAAAGGGGCATCCCTGAGCTATCTGCTGCCCCTGCCCCACCGTGCAGGCCCCGGGTCAGCTGGGGAGAGGGCGAGGGGCTGCGATCCTGGGCAGGGCTCCTGCCCCCTTCTCAGCGCCTCTCTTTGCTCTGGGCTGCAGACATCTGCAGGCTCCCCGCGGACACTGGCCCCTGCAAGGCGTACATCACTCGCTACTACTATGACGTGGCCACCAGGACCTGCAAACCTTTCGTTTATGGCGGCTGCGAGGGCAATGAGAACAACTTTGGGTCCTCCCTGATCTGCCAGTTGACGTGCAAGATCATCGGTGAGTCGTGCGGCCGCTGGAGGTTGCTGGGCGGCTCCAGGTGCTGGGGGGGAAGCCTGGCAGAGGAGAGAGGACCCCTGCCCCTGCCCCTGCCCCAGCGCAGAGACCCAAGCCTGGCTGGGGGAGAGGGCGAGGGGCTGCGATCCCAGGCAGGGCCCTCTCCTCACTGCCCATCTCTGCCTGGGTCAGGGGTGTGCAGGCTGCCCCAGGACCCCGGCCCCTGCCTGGCCCACGCGCTCGCCCACTACCACAAGGCTGCCCTGGGCAGGTGCGAGACGTTCAGCTCCGGGGGCTGCAGGGCAACGGGAACCGGTTCCCAGTGACGACATGTCTCCGGGCCTGCAGGCAGCGAGCTGAGGGCGGGATGGGGAGCAGGGGTCGAGCTGTGCGGGCCGGCACCTTCCAGGACCCCCTCGGCCCCGACCTCCAGCACCTCCAGGACACCCTGGTGCTGCTCCCGGGGGTGGTGCGGTTCCCTGGGGGGGCAGGAAGAGGGGGAAATGGGGGCAGGAGGCCACGTCACCCCTCCCGCAGTCCTAGAGCTGACCCCTCCTAGGGGGACGCAGTCCTGGAGCGTCACCCCTCTCCGCTCTGACCAATTTTCCCTCCCCACTCAGGGCAACTCCGAGAGTGACCCCGTGCGGGAGGCGGGCCTGCAGGTCCCAGACTCCCCCATGGACCCAGCCTGTGGCTCCAGACACCGATGGGACACGTGACCCCAGCACCGGGGTCTGCTTCCCGCACCCCCGACGGCAGCTCCAGCCTCCACGCAATAAAGACCCGACTTTGCAGCTTCCTGCAATCTCCCTCCTGCGGGTCTTGTCCCTGCATCTCCAGCGCCAGCCCCAGCCCCGGGCAGAGAGAGGGGGCATCGCTCGCCCTGCCCGGGGCGACGTCCGGGCTCCCAAAGCAGGACCCGCCGGGGCCCGAGCGAGGCCGGAGCTGGTTCCTGGTGGGGCAACTGTTCCCTTCGCCGTGGGGCAATGCAGCGCGGTTCCCTGCACTAGAGGCGCCGGGGGAAGCCGGCTGCACCGCGGGTCCAGGGAAACGTGGCCTGCGCCCGTGACCGCCCCCAGCTGCCGACACAGTGGGGGAAGAGGAGCGCTGGCATCCTGGCCCTGGTTAGGGCCCTTTGGGGTGGTGGAGGGGGCTGGGGGCCCGGGCAGGGATGGAGCTGGGCTGGGGTATCCCGGTGGTCGTTGCGCCCATTGCTCAGGGAAGCAGGTGTCTGCCCTGAGCTGCGACACGGCTGCTCAGGGCTGTGGCCCTCGGGCGTCCTGCCAGCTCCCGTCGCGGGGGGCCAGTGGCCGGCTCAGGCCGGGGGCGGGGGCCGGGGCAGTGAGAAGGGGTCAGCGCCTGCCCTGCCTGGGGGGCAACAGGGTCCCTGGGCTTGCCCCCACGGGGCCGCGGCCGGGCAGGATTGCACGGGGAGGGTCCTGGGGGGCAGCCCACGGTGCCGAGTGCTCCAGCTGGGCTGCAGGGAGCCCTTGTCTCTGCCCGCCAGCGAGGCTGTGGCACCACCGATCCCAGCGCCCGCCTGTACCTGGGCTCTGGGCTGTGCTGGGCGGCCCCCCCCGGCTGCAGTGCCCCCGCGCCCCTTGCAAGGGAAAGGGGGCCCTGGCTGTGCAGCACCAGCACCAATGCCTGGCACCGGGTTTTGGGCCCTGCTGCCTGCGGGGAGCACGGGGACCGGCAATCCCAGGGGCCGCTGGCACCAGGGGACCTGGCACGTCTTGGGCCCCCACCTCTGTGCGCCGTGCTCGGCCTCTGGCAGGGCAGTCTGGCTCTCGTATCCGAGACCCCGAGGCCATGGGGAGCCGGGCCCAAGAGCCCCGTGGGCATCAGGCCGGGCTGCGGGAAGCCCTTCTCCCTGCTGGCAGGGGTGCTGTGCCCATGCCCAGCGTCTCCGTGTACCTGGGGCTCTGCGCCCTGTCCCATGCTGGCAGGAGCCCGGCAGCAGGCAGGAGAATTGCCCCAGCTGGCCCCGGTTACCAGCCCCGCACCTCGTTAGCCTTATAAGCAGGAGCTCTCGCCCGCCTGGTTGGCTGCCCCTGGCCGCCCCTGCCCCGCC